GCACCATGATCCCTGTCCCCACCAGGGCAGTGTATTGGCTACCGTGTTGAGCGTGGGGGAGTCAGCCCCAAGGGTCCTCGGGAAAAACTCGTGCTTGACATCCGATGGGAGCGAACAGCTCCACTGACCGAGTCTGCTGTTCTAGACCTACAAAACAGCATCACCACACGGCTCTCTATTCTCAGATGTTTAAAACATCTTCTCCATCAAGATGGAAGAACTAAAGTTTGCCTTTCACAGGTCCTGATGCTCATTGTTGTTTTGTTTTGTTTTGGTTCCACTGTGACATGAGCTTGGCTCACTTGAATCTTTTTGTGTAGCTTTAGAGAGATTTTCTGTTCCTGTCTTCTGTTTTATAGTCTCCTTTCTTAACAGAATGATGTTGATGTGGTGTCATGCACCCAGCTCTCCAGGAATCCTATGGGAGTTAGAGGGTGCTTTTTGGATGGAACCCCTTGCTGATGTGCCATCCTCTAGCCATGTCTGAGGTGAAACTCAAGCTGCCCTCTGGTCCTTGGTTTAGATTTGTGTAAATATCTTGATTTAATCAAAGTCAGACACTTTTATGAAAGTTCTTGCTTCTAACCCAGTAAGCAGATCTAGCCTAATTTTGAAATCACACAAAATGTTCTGCTTGCCTATCCTCACTGGATAATATCACGTTTTCTTTTCCCCTTGAAAGCAAATTTAACAACAAGGAGAAGATCAGTGGAAGGGACCAAATGCAAGCCTCAGCGTCACCCCACTGCCAGGCGGCCCCAAGGTCCCCTCACGGCCTGGGGCAGCCCCAACATTTTCTTACAGCTGCGGTGGCCTCAGCGAGCATCCCACCACCTGCTCTGGAGGGATACAGTGTTTGAACGGACACCATGGTTTGTGAGGAAAACTGAAGGATACCATCTTCTGCCTGTTTTATTTTTTTGTATAAACAATGTGATTAGAATATATGACATTAAATAATTTTAAATTCTACTGCCACACTACACTTCGTTGGAAATATGAGAGTGCACCATAATTTAATTACAAAATTCACTTGCTATCTTGATTCATGCATCCTTTTGATTGTGGTGGTAACCTTATGCCTTTCGTTTTTAATAGGCTTCACAGATTTTTATTCTCCTATGAGAAATGATGAAACATAATGTGACTTGTTTTGGCTGAGCCCCAACATTTTAATGTGAGGTTTTCAAGAACAAGTAACAGTGATTTTTACTTCTTTTATAACTTTATAAAAATTATGCAATATAATCAGAAAGAAGCATAATACAGATGCCTGAAATCAAACATTACAAGCATTTTGGAGCATGAGTAATTTCTTTTCTTTTTTTAAGATTTATTTATTTTTATTGGAAAGGCAGATATACAGAGAGGAGGAGAGACAGAAAGGAAGATCTTCTGTCCAATGATTCACTCCCCAAGTGGCTGTAACGGCTGGAGCTGTGCCAATCTGAAGCCAGAGCTTCCGGGTCTCCCACCTGGGTGCTGGGTCCCAAGGCTTTGGGCCATCCTCAACTGCTTTCCCAGGCCACAAGCAGAGAGCTGGATGGGAAGTAGGGCTGCCGGGATTAGAACCGGTGCCGATATGGGATCCTGGGCGTGTAAGGCAAGGACTTTAATCACTATGTTATTGCGCCAGGCCCAGCATGAGTAGTTTCTAATCCATTAAAATACGAAGATGTATACTTGCTCTGTTGAATCCTGTGATATTTCTGATGACATAAGAATGATCCAGTATTGGCAGTTTTGTGTCATTCAACATGTATTGGTTAGGTGGCTGAGCACGTTTCTGGTACTGAAGTTAAAGTCAAACCGTGATGGGTAGTACTCGGTGAGTCAGTGCTTCGTGGCTTGTCAGGGCTGTGTAGCTCTGCGTGAGTCAGCCCTTCGTGGTTTACCCAGCATTGCGATCAAGGCCCTCTCTTGATTTAAGTCCTGCTTTCAAGCTAGTCATTAGTTTGATTGTATACTGGTTATAAGTTTAAGTAAATATTGCCAGATCCAGACAGTATTAAGAGGAGGAGCAGTTAAGACCGTGGATTAGTCAGCATCTTGAGGATAAGCTGGATTTATTCCCATGTGATCTTGTCTCCAATTACCGTGTCTAGTGGGTGTCTAGTAGGCTGAGAATGACTTTCTCTGACAGATGACATCAGAGAATGGAAGGGCTGAGGATTTCTGCAGACTTTTAGGTGAGGAAAAGCAGTGGTTCCTGCTGTGGAGTGAGCGTTTCTTGAGTTAAGGCCCCATCTCCGTGGAGCACCGTGCACCTCGGCTCCAGGCCTCTCCCCTTCTCCCCGGTGGCGGCTGTGACTGTTGGGACCGTCCTCAGCAGTTGGGGAGCGAAGGCTTAGCAGAGCTCTATCCGCCCCTTTTGCCCTGGCATTCAAATTCTGCTAAAATCAGGAAAAGGAAGCAAACCAATTGGGAATCTGAAATCATGCGGGAAGAGACGACCTAATCTAGCTGCTTATTGTCTGTAGATTCCTCCCATTTGGGTGGGGGCTGGAATCCTGAGAGTGGGGTCCAGGCAAGGTGTGCCGTGCTGGCGTTGGAGGCGGCCTGCACGGAGGATGGCCCAGACAGATGCTTCCCTGGAGGGCACTCCACAAGAGGAGCTGGTGGTCGCAGGACACACAGGTCAGGCTATGAAACAGAAATCCAGAGATGCCACAGTGATGGGCAGGGAATGTGTGAGCACCTTGCTGCAGTGCCCGTACTCTCATCGGCTGCCTATTTTGCTTTTCAGGGTTACATATTTCTGAATGGTCAGGTTCCAGTATTATAATGAGAATGTGCATAAATGAAATTCTAACTGCAAACATACTCACGGGAGTGTTCAGATCTATCCTTGAAGGAGGAAGTGCAGTAGAATGGTTACAATCAGGACTGTCCTGGGCCATCTTGTATCACTTCTGGGTCATATTTTATGCAACTTTAAGACCCTGGCTTCCTGTTAGTTGGGGTTGTTGGAATGCTCCAACCCTAATTCTGTGGCCAGGGGGCTGTGGTAAAGATGCAGTTGGCATGCCCGAAGCCCTCACACCCATGCCTGGTGACTTGGATATGCTCAGAGCCGCGACTCCACGTGCCATCATTGCTGCATCCTTCGTGCCAGTTCACAGGAAAGGACTGGTGCTGTGGGACCTGGCTTGTGGCCCTGCCCCGGGATGGTTCTGACTGTGTCAAGTTCACACCAAGTGGCAATCAGACAATCCATTCAAACACTTTCTGCAGCTGTGTGTTTCCAAGGCCTGGGGGACGGTTTTCTGAATAGTGTTCCAGACTGAGAATCCACAAATATTATCTCTCAATTCATAGGATGCCTTTTCGTTTTGTTGTTTTCATTGCTGTGCAAAAGTTTTTAAATTTGATATAACCCCGCTTGATTATTTTTGTTTTGTTACCTGTGCATGTGGTGTTACATCCAAAAATTCATTGCTGAGACTGGTCCAGATCTTACACCTAAGCCTTTACTCTCTTGTGAGTTAATTTTTACTATGGTACAGGATAAGGATCCAATTTCATTTCTTTGCATTTAGATTGACTTTTTTTTCAGTTTATGGAAGATACTGTTTTTTCTCCATTTTGTACTGAGTGCTTTTGGCAAAGACGGTTAACTAAGTACGGGTTCGTTTCTGGCCTTCAATATATTTTTTGCACTTATCTATGAGTATCTGTTTCTACATCACTTTAATTGCCAACGCTTTGTGCTGTAGCTTGAAATCAGGAGTTGAGATTCCTCCACCCTGTGCTTGCTTTTTCGAGATTCCTTAAGTGATCCCAGCATAATAGCCAAGTGGATAAATCCTCACCTTGCCTGCACTGGAATCCCATGTGGGCACCAGTTCAATTCCCAGCTGCTCCACTTCCCATCCAGCTCCCTGCTTGTGGGAAACAAACTGACAGAATTGTTTTCTAAGCATTAAAAATCAGAATCTTTTCTATTCCTAGGAATAGAGTACAGTAGGAAAAATTGTTATGTCAGAGTACGTAAGTTGCCCAAAAGAAGAGATTTTAGAAACGTGCACTTTGTTCAATTGGAAAAGAGACTTCTCGGAAGATTAACGTCAGTCTTATGGGGGCATCATTTATTATAAGGTGTTAGAGGACAAAAGAGCTTGTGAGTGCCGGAGGGCTTCTGGTGTTCTGAAGTTGTCTTCCACCTTCATAGTTTTTCTTTTTTCCTCTATTTCCTTTTATCTCCCTTTATATGTGAACTCATTTCTGTGTCAGTTTGTTTCTGAGTACTCGGCTTTCCCGCTTGCCTTTCCCACAATGCCCAGGGGTGAATGGACTCCCGAGAGCGGAGGCTTCCTGATGGCCCCGTCTTGGAAAATTAAATTCTCTCTGCTCACGCTTCTGATCTACTTTGAATGACAATATTAAAAACTAATTCCAGTAATGTATTTATTTTTTAAGAAGGGCTTTAATTTCAGCAAATACTCAGTGAATTCCATCTTGCAAGGTTATTTGAAGCTACAAAAACCCTGTAATAAGAGAACATTGTCAGGCCCTTTGCATGTCGTATTAGAGAAGGGGCAGTCCAGCTAGGGAACGGGCCTCCTAGCCCGAGTCCTGAGACTGCATTGTGTGAGCAGCAGTGAGTATACTGTAGAGCCGTCAGACGCTAGGATGGCCATGGAGCTGGAGGCTTCGTGCTTCTCTCCTGTAGAACAGTCGTGGAACACAAGAACATCTTCCTGTGGACACCTGCCTCTGTCCACTGCCCTCTGTAGGACACTGCGTCTGTAAGGAGGCTCCCCTCCGGACACACCCTGCCCTGCCCAAGAACATTTGTCATATTTTTGTTGTTAATTTCCTGTTTACTGCTATCTTAACGCTCTTTAGGGAAACTCTTGGAAGAGATGCTGGCTTCCCTTGTTGCTCGTGAGAGAGAGCCTGTGGCTTGCTTGTGTGTGGTGGAAGGGGCTCTTTGGGACCAGCGTGGCTGTGTCACACTGTGTCACACTGTCTCTGTCATCCCTCTCTGTCCCTTGCAGGACAGTGCTCTTCACGCTGACCTCTGTGGTGGTTCTTGTCATCACCACCGACTGGATCAGCTGGGACAAGCTGAACCGGGGATTCCTGCCCAGCGACGAGGTCTCCAGGGCGTTCCTCGCGTCTTTCATCCTGGTTTTCGACCTGCTAATTGTGATGCAGGTAAGTGGCCACGTCTCCTTCCTTCCTGGAAACTGCCTCCTGCCTGCCTCCTTCGGCATCCCGCTGAGTACCACGACCTCCCCAGTTACAGAAGGGTGTCCGCGGAGCTCTTCTCCGTATATTTCCAACTATCTACTGGGAGGAAAAGCCAGTTGACCTCTGACAAAAGGGGTACCAAGAGTTCATCCTGTGCCCGTGATGCAGCGGGCATGAGGAAATGAGACAGTATTATGGTGTTTTCTTGCAGAACCTCAGGCATGGGGCAGAGAGAGAGAAAGCGCAGTCCTTCAGTAAATGGAAAGCTGTGGAACCAGGGCTGCTCCACGGCCCCAGGGCTGATCCACCACCCCAGGGCTGCTCCACTGCCCCAGGGCTGATCCACCACCCCAGGGCTGCACCTTAGCACAGCTGGGCAGATGCCTTCTCTAGCATCGAATGACAGCTTTCCCTTCATATTTTCTGCGGATGGAAACAGTGTGACTGCCCTGCTTAGCAACCGACGCTGGGTGTCCTGCCAACCAGGTCAGCGTGGGTGGTCTTGTGGTATGTGTGTCGGCTTCCAGGGGTTTGCTGTCACTGGGGCAGGAGGAGACACTGGCTGCTGATTCTTGGCATTTCAGCTTGCTCTTTAAGTGTCTATGCAAGCCAGCCTTTCTGTTCCTTGGGGGAGGCCAGTCCACCTTTTGCCTTCCAGGGGCCACCAGGAGCCAGATGACCTGCACTGCCCCATGCCCCAGGGGAGGGGCCTGCACTGTGTTGCTTTATTCCATCTCTAGAGACCAAGGCCTTCCTCGGGGACTTTCTGTGTTGCCTGTAAAGGGAAGAGTTGATTTTTCTTAGGCTTGTTTGGGATACAACTTATGCCAAGAACGATGTTTGAGAGGCTTCCTCTGGCATAACCTTATTTTAATAGGCAATATTTTATAAGAAGGATGTTATGGTTTTTAAAATTTATTTGAAGCCAGGAGATGGGCTATTTTTATCTCATCTATTTTCATTGCCCATGAGGCAGTTTATTATGGAGAAAGCCTGGACCCATTCCACATCTGTTTCTGCTGGCTGCAGCCCACCTCCGGGTAGCTATGGAATTGGCCTGTGGCACTTAGGCAGTTATGCATCATATGGTACTTGTAGAAAGGCCATTTTCATCTCCTTCCGTTTCCTGGCTTCCTAATGTACAACATTGCCTCTGGCCCACGGCCCACTGGTAGTGGCTGGTCCCATGATGACGCCAGAGGTGCTGGCTGCCCAGACTGTCGGCTCCTTACACCTGCTTCCCTTCCGATGTGAAGAGCATCTGTCCCCTGGTCATCCATTATCAGGCTCTGCCCTCTTCCTTGTTCCTGCGAATTCTTATTATCCTGCTGGTAGCGTCTCTAAAATTGGAGCTTTCAAGTGGCAAAATGTAGCCTTGCAATTTACACCATTACGGATTCCATTTTGAAAGTATTTAACAGACAGATGGAGGGAGAACACAAGGCCACTGACACTGAGGGAAAATGAGAAAAATCACGTTTGTGTGTGATTCATGCAAGAAATGAGCAGTAACTTTAACTTCATTCTGAAGAATGATGTGGACGGGAAGGTCGAGTTCACATGAGGACAGCATGTGAGTGGATGCTTGCAGGCTGAGGACTAGGAATGGGCACATGTGTGTTATATGTGGGTGTATGTCGGTGTGAAGAGAGGGAGTCTTAGTCCATGGTTTACCCAGCTGCAATGGGCTCTGTGAGATGGAAGCTGTGCCTTATTCACTGCTTTGAGCTCCCGTAATGCAGAAGACCAGGCTGGGGACAGCTCATGGCACTGAGGACCTCCTGTAATACAGAAGACCGGGGCTGGAGACAGCTCATGACACTGAGCTCCTGTAATACAGAAGACCAGGGCTGGGGACAGTTCATGGCACTGAGCTCCTGTAATACAGAAGACCAGGGCTGGGGACAGTCTTCTGTATTCCAGGAGGTCCTCAGTGCCATGAGCTGTCCCCAGCCCTGGTCTTCAGGGAGCAGACTGATTTCCTTTGTTGAGCTGTGTCCCAGTCTGTGCAGGTGGGGAGTCTGCCTGAGGTGTCTGGGGGTCATCTTGGCAGGTGGTCTATGGCGTCAGGGATGTTAGGGATGTTAGGCAGTTACTGTTTGTATCTGATTATTATTCCTGCTGACATTAAGGTGACATTCACCTGCAAAGGAAGCTAACAATCCAGTTAGCATAGAACAGAGATCAGCATTTGACACAGGTGGCAAGCTGTGAAGGGTGACAGTGAGCAAGACAGATCAGTCAAGTCTTGATGTGGAGTGTGGGGAGATTGTAGCTGGAAGGAATTACAAGATTCGGTTGAGTAAGTGGAAAATGGAGGTATTCAAGTTTTATCCCAATTTAAAGTAAAATGCTTTACTCCCCAGGGTAATTTTTTGAAGTGAGAACTAGACCATGATTAAGAAATTGGAAAGATATAAATTCTGCACTATTGCACATTGGCAGCATTCTCCCCCGCTCTGTTCTAGAGGCCCCGTGCTCCAACTTGGGCTGCAGATCCATGTGTGGGGGAAGAAGTCTTGCGCTGAGTGCCTGATTGTTATCTGAACAGTCCTCCAGAGCCCTGCCTCGCTGCTGTCTACCTGTGTGGAGCACCTGTCCCTGCGAGTCCTGGCTAGCAGTGGGCTTTCCATTGCACCCCACAGCATCACAGACACCTGACATGTCTAGACCCTGCACTGGCCCAGCACCTGTGGGCCACCTGGCTGTGTTGCCGTGTGAACGGTGGCACTTAACATAGGAACCAGACATGCACACATTCCTTGGACTCCTGTGCCCATTCCATGTGACCCGGTCACTTCCAGTCGCTCCTGATGGAGAGTGTCAGGGCTATCTGGTCGTTTTCTGGTCTCCTTCTAAGACACAGGATGCAGGCAAGTGAGAGAAGAAGAGACTCTACAGTCAGTGGAAGCCACAGGAGGCACCACAGCAATAATCCTCAAGTTCAGAGCACTCTTTGGCAAGGCGAGTCTAAAATAAGACTCGGAAAAGAGCTATTGGAGACAGACACAGTTAGTATTACTGTAGAATGTCAAAGCAGGAGGAACATTTGGGATTATAGCCAAAGCCCAGCAGGTTCTGTAACTTACGTGCAGTAATAAAGTAGTAAGAGGAGGGGCACCGGTGCTGTGGTGTAGTAAGCTAATCCTCAGCCTGCAGTGCCATCATCCCATGTGGCTGCCAGTTTGTGACCTCAGCTCTGTGCTTATGGCCTGGGAAAGTGGCAGAAGATGGCTCATGTGCTGGGCCCCTGACCTATACGGGAATCCTGGAAGAAGCTCCTCTGGGGTGGGGGAGATGGGGAGACAGGCTACAGCTTGCTGAGTGTTGCTGCATGTTGGGCACTGTTCAACCTTCCAGACGTCCCTACACAGAGGATGTGGCTGGTTTATGTAATGTTACCACCGGGAAAAGCTGAGTTTCCCCAGCAGTCTGAGCAATAGAGAATAGATGTGTCGACTCCAGAGTGACACAGGTTTCATGTACTTCAGATGGAATAACATACACCATCGCAAGGAGGTGACAGGAAGTCTGGTGAGTGGGGTGGGCACTCCTGCTGGAGACTGCAGGCAGGACTCAGTATCCGGTGGGTGAGCACTCTGAAATATCCCCTGGCTTCCAGAGGGCCCTGCCCTGCTGTCCGCTGGGTGGTACTCCCTGACCCTGCCCTGCTGTCCACTGGGCAGTGTTTCCTTGGCGCCCTGACACTGCCCTGCTGCCCACTGGGCAGTATTTCCTTGGCGCCCTGACCCTGGCCCTGCTGTCCGTTGGGCAGTGTTTCATTGGCGCTGCTCTCAGTCAGATGGTGCTCCCTGGCTCTTGCTGTGGCTTTTTGCAATGGTCACCTGAAAAGGCCTGGGAGTGTGCTGGTTTGGTGCTTCAGCAGTCCATCTTTCATAAGAGAAATTGGCTCTAGTTGGGACTTCCCAGCTCTTCTTTGAGCCACAGCTGGCCACTCAGACTTCCGTTAATGTCACAGGGAGCCCAAGAAAGCAAGGTGGTGGAGGAGCACCCTGGGGTCTGGGGCCCTAGGCATGTTGCAGTGCTCTGGAAGGTGAGGTGCACGTAGAGGGAGGCTTCCAACTGCGGACCTGAGCAGAGGAGCACAAGGGCTTTCACAGCAGCGTGAGCTCCCCCACCCTGCATCCCCCAGAAGGTTCTTGTTTGGGAAGTATGCAGGATGCCTGGACATCTGCATGTCCGCATCGTGACAGGAGGCTCCTGGGAGAACCTGCGTGCTGCCCAGCAACGCAGATCCCATCTCACAGAGCCCTCAGAAGCGCACTGCTACCAGCACCAGTCCCGATTCCTTTGAACCTGGTGCCCCAGGAAGCACTGAAGGTGCAGAGCCTGTTGTGGCATTGCTTGCGAGGAGGGCATGGAACACAGCCCCAAGTCCTGACTCCATCACCGATGAATTCATCAGCCGATGAAGCTGGTGTGAGTTTCACATTCTTGCTCTAGAGTGACCTTGTTCTTGTGGTGTGTGTTGTAAAAAGCTGAAGAAATAGATCCACACTGGGACTACATTTTGCAAATATCCAGTTGCTGGCAGTGGTGTGTATGTCTGAAACATTTCCTGTTATTTCCCTTTTTAATCTCAGTGGCTGAGTCCCTTTGTTAGCAGTCTGTGCTGGCTGAGGGCCATCATGGGGTAGACATTGAAGACCTCAGGCTGTGCGTACCTGCAGGCCCGACCCCTGCTGCAGGATTCTCTCCTGAGGCTGACCCAACGAGGCGGCTACGTCCATAACGGACTGTTCTTGAAGTCAGAGGTTCTTGGAGGCAGCCTGTGTTCAGGAACCCTCGCTTTATCTGTTCAGAGTCACAGGGAGCCTCAGGACATCCAAAGATGAGGTCCCCATCTCTCAGTAACAAGATCCTGATTTAATCCTCTGCACAGAGCAGTTTGGCTTGTGCCTGGACCGAGGAAGGCAGGCAGGGATAAGTGCTGTCAGTATTTG